GCAACAAATTTTGAAACATCGTTTTATTTGCACTTGTATCTAGTCACATTTTTTTCATACGTCGAAAACTAATTCGGAATTGATAAGTCTACTTCGTGCAGTTGATATCTGACAAGCTCATCCGAAGAAATAAGCAATTTGCTACTTAATCGGCAATTTAAATACACTCGTCCCTCGATTATGCAAAGTGTTCATCCCACGTTATTTATTACACGTAAATCAAGTCATTATGAAACAATAAGAATGTGTGTATAATACGTAAGCAAAATACTACGATGAGCAATGACATTTGTCATCTTGGACAGCTCTGAGTCATCGAACGAATAAAATGGCATTTTTAAAAGGTCAGAACTGGAGTCTACCATTATTATTTACAAAATTATACATTAATCGTTAGGTCCGGATGGCTCAAATTGGGCGAAGTTCTTTTCGTGGTTGCTATATGAGTAAATTGAAGAATTTAATCTCTCAAGTACTCTCCGAAAGTCTATATCAGTGGTTTATCACTGAAAACAGTTATAAGCATATCATTAATATAATTCGTGCTGGTATACTTGCAACTGTGAATCAGTGAGCATTCACTGTTTTCAGTGATAATCCACTGATATTGACTTTAGGTCCGTATTTGTAGTCGTGATTCTGCTGAACAACTCAGCTAAACTCAGTCTTGAGACATGATACTGTTTAATAGCTTGAGACAGGCACAATTTGATATTTGTTTGTAATCTCGATTCAATAGAGATTCTCAAAAGAAGTTTTAGAAAATAGTTTTTGGATTTCGTATCGTATCTAAGGTTTGAGACGAGAAAAATTGCGTATTGCCGCTTTAGGCCTGGTTTCACCAAACGTCGCTTAACTTTAATCTCGGTTTAATTCAAGTTTGTCTCTTTCTGAAGTAACCGTTGGAAAGAGACAAGAAACGAATTAAGTTAAGCTTAAAGTTAAGCAACGTTGGTGAAACCGGGCCTCAATCGATGTTTTGACTCTCAAGATGAATTTCAGGCGAGTAATCGGTCCCCCTTTCAGCTGAATACAGTCTCAGTTGATCTTTAATCAAAATAGTAACTACTGAACCGTTCGTATCTCAAGACATGAAACTCCAACCTGAGTGTCTCACCTGATACACACTCGAGACGAGAATTGAGAAACGACTATAAATACGGGCCTTAGAGAGTACAGATGCATTGCTACGTCTGATGTGTCGTTACAGTCAATTCTTATCAATGCCTCGAAATACACCGATGAGAAATATACATGAAATAAAAGAGCGCCTGCCGCGAAAAGCACACTGAAAAAAATTTCTGGTTGAATATGGACGAATCAGATAATTCCTTTAGGATTTACCAGAATTCCTTTAGGATTTACCAGAATTCCTGTAATCCTACAGAAATTTTTTTCAGTGCAGTAATAATCAATCTCACACGCATATCACTTCCATCCGCGGCGATCTGATCGCTAATTAGTTCTTTATGGCATCATCAGAGACGGATGTTAGAGCATCCCTGGCAATGACATTTTAATCGAATCACATTGCCTGGAATACGATACGACGCGTGCGGTGGGGAGACGCGCTGGGAGGGTATAATGATCGCCGCTGATTGCGAGCTCTCATGTCGCGGTACACAATCGACGGCTGATGCATTCGAAAACTACAAAACCCGAACTAATTAAAAGGGAATCAGGAAGCCCGGCTCCATCGCGCCATTGGCGTCGCCACGCCGCGGCAAACGCAAAATCCCTCCTGGCTGCGAGTCGCGATCGACGAGATGGGGCAACGAACGCGCGCGCAAATCAAATATTAATGGCGCAATTAGCACCGATTGTACCTTAATCGGTTTTGCCGCTTTTTCTCCAACGTCCGCGAATTTCCGCGTCCGTGACGCGGCGCAACCGACTCGTGGGAAAAAAAGAACTCGACCGGACGCGTCGCCATCCGTTGCGCGCAACTGTCAACTTCTTGCTGCCCGCGCACTCCTATTAATTTCGGATTATCGCAAATTGCTGGCGTTGTCTTCCATTACAAGATTTTCCCGACAACGGGGGTGCAGTAAGAAATAAATGATAAATAGATGCTTCTTTTACAAATACGTTCCACGTTTACGTTTTTTATAGCTGGATCGGTCCAGAAAAAGCGTAGATCAATTATAAATACATTAATTTTTCCTATCGCGTTGCGCAATATTCTTTAGACAGGATAATTGAATCTTTGTTCTAAGGGCGAGGATGCACATAAATTTTAATTATTAATAAATTATAATTACTCCCCGTGCTTTTAATACAGGAATTAAGTTGGATCTACGCAATACCGATATTTATGACACAGGTGACAAGTTTGCGCTGTGTAGGATTTGTTTTGTTAATTATTCAAGCCGATTACTTAATTCACTTTTGATTAATGATCGTCTGTGTACAGGGACGAGCACGAGAACAATGGGAACGAGAGCTGTTGCCGTTGCGGCGGCGGCAGGTGCTGCCGGGATGTCTGGCGAGGCGGGATTGGCTGGTGTACCAAGACTGCTGGAGGATCTGGCGCGACTCTCGGAGGATAAGGACTCGGCTGATATCGTGTTCCTGCTAGGGAGGGACGAGACCCCCGTTTATGCCCACAGAATAATACTTCAAGCCAGGTTAGCCTTAACGAGCCATTATTTATGAAAACATTAATTTTATTCCTTAATTTGAAGAAAATATCATCTCTCGCGATATTACTTGCAACGTTACGTAATTAATGGAATTTTTTAATACCGCGGAGAAACTCAAACATAAGTTAGAATTTTAGGAGATTCGTTGGAAAGTAAATTTCGATTAATAAGTGAAACGGGATCTACACGAATCTTACGATTAATTAGAGAAGATGCCACTATTCGGAATTGGATCCTCTTTGATTAATTCTTAATTTCGATTTGTATAATAAGTGAAACTCCGCAGAGTAGAGACAAAATTATTTGTATCAACCAGTCATTTCCGATACTTCCCGATACCGCCGGGAATTCGAGCTACGGTGCCATTGGTTATTTCGGAGAAGATACCAAGTGTGACACTCCCTGGGTATTGAATTAATCGTTAACACAGTAATTTTTATTGCAACTTCCCACCGTTATTATGACCACCGAATTGCTACGAGCGAGATTTCCTCGGAGAGTTCAAGTACCATAAAAGTATGCAATTAATTATCACGGGAGAATCGCGATTTTTAAGTACGCGTTTCAGATGCGAGAAATATATTTCCACTGCGAATATCGTCCGTGATGAAATATTCAGCTTGAATATACGTATTTTATGCGGAATTAAATTTAATGTGAAATAAAATATCTCGTCCAACGGAACACGGTCTTCAGTGAGTGAAAGAGACCGTTGGTTGACAATCGCTAAATAGAAACATTAATGTAAGGTTACTTCGTTATACCCATTGGAAAATACGGCGAACGTATCTCTCTTTCACGCGAGATAAAACGAACAGAGCCTGTCATTCGTAACTCGCAAGGAATATCATAGCGAGAAAACGGAACGACTATTGAAAGAAACAGCGACTTATTGAACTTCCGCGAATGGCGCGAGGCGCCGGAATTCGTGCTAGCGATGAATTTTAATTAAACCTGTTACGGTTTATGGAGATAGTTACGGACCGATCGGCTGCTCTAATTAGTTAGATCACGAGAGGAGCACTCTTTTTCCCTAACCCTATAGCACTTTCATCCCTCGGCAAACTCTCTCTCTCTCTCTCTCTCTCTCGTCCGGATTCGTAAGGAGAATTCGGTTGATATTTAGAGGGAAGGCGAACTTGTCCGAAGGGTTGGCACACCGTGAGACAAGGCGGCGCTAATTGTAAAGTCAATTATGACATTTCCACGAATCCCTTTAATATCAGGCGCGGAAAGTAACGGCGGGACCTTTGTCATCTCCACCGTCATCTCCACCCTTTAGCATTATTCTCTTCCTCCCCCTCTTACCGCCCCCTCCTCTCCTCTCTTTCTCTCTCGATTCGGCTGCCCGCCAACATGAACCTGGGAAAATTAAGTTACGCGTGCCAGTGACAGATGTCCGCGGTCGAAACGAATGGACAATGCGTGCTACTGCGCGCTCAAACTCTTTACGACGCTCTTGCGCATTGAAAATCGTGATAAAGAGACGCGTACTTGAGGACTCCCCCCCCCCCTCGCGAAGGATAGCGGCTCTAAAAACGTGGAAATAAAATTTTCTAGGAGCACGCGTTTTACCATTTCCCGTTCTTTCCGGTAAGACTCGAGTAATCTTTACTTCGACGAAGTTTTGGGGGATAAACAATTTATAAATGGAGCTGAGTGACAGTCGCGAATAATATATGGGCAAAATACTGGATGACTAAAATATCTCGGCATTTAAACGCGAATTCCTGCGATACGGTGATGCGACTTGCAAAACGATTAATTGTTTTCAATTTGTTTGCAGAGGCTTAAAATAGTCGCAGCTCTATCGTTTAACGGCAATTATATCACAATAATTTGAATAATTGTGATTGAGTACGCAAGGAAACGCTATTTACAATTGTTTATTGTACACAGAAACGTTAGATAAAGTGTAAAAAATTCATAATCCATTTAGATGTAGTTTGTTAGTTTTGCCAGACGAGAAAATAATTCTTTATAGTCTTGGCACAGTGATAATTTTCTACATGATATATTTTGACGTAAAAGCACGGTTTACAAAACTTATTCGGGCAAACATTGTTTCACCCTTTCCTGATTTTGCGCGCATCGTCAACACTCTCGTGTTTCGCGTCAAGAACTCGAAACTTTTGCCACGTCCGTTGAAAACGTTCCGCTTTACCGAGGCCGAAACGTTCGGCTATATTTTTCCGCTTTTCATCCACTTTATCTCTGGTTTTCTCACGCGACCTAGACGTCCCATATATTTTGCGTACTTTTCTAACGCCTGTTCACGCCAGACTCCAAAGACTGTCGCGCCGCTTACGTGCCTTTTGACACAGTTCTTTTTGATTCGATGGAAAGCGCCGATGCACTTTATTCTGTCGCTTAGTGCTTTAGAATCTTGATATGTTAAATTCCTTTAACCCTTTGAAGCATGGTGGTAACCCACCTTACCATCTCAACTTCTTTACTTTTTGGTCACTTAATTTCTAGTTAACGCATTTAGGATGAATTTTTTGCATTTTTGGGTATCTTAGCGATAAAAGAACATTAAAAAAGTTGAGTAGTCTTTAAGATTTATTGTAAAAGTTTTATAACTAAACAAATATAAAAAAACAGCAATTTTTCCGGAAAAATTTATTATTGACTAAGTTTTTTAAGATTATTTCTTGAAAATTTTTTATAAGGGAGTTTTCAGGGCCGCTTATTACGAATCTGATGTCGAATTTTCAAAATTTAAAATCGCCGACCCAAAATAACGGATGTAAAGTACGTGAATTTTTTTAAGTTTTTATGTTTTTCAGCATTTTCGTTTGATTACGGTATTTAGGGACTCATCACGTACGCGTTGTTAGCTCTGGATAGTGCCAAGAATGAGTGAATTCTAAGAAATGATCAAATTTCAATTTCACATCCGTCATTTCGCGCGTGCTATTTTTTATGTTCTATAAGAATTTTCAACTGAAAGTTAGATTCCATGGCTCCTAATAATATCTAAATAATGTTTCTTAGCATAGTTGAATTACAGTTGAATGATGTTATTTTTTAAGTTTTGAATTCTGCCATCTTGAATCCATCATATTGAATTATGAAAATCTGATAACGGATTCGTAATCAGCAACCCCAAAAACCCCTGTATACAAAGTTTCACAACAAAATGGTTCGATAGAAAAATGTGTGCTTCAAAGGGTTAAGAATAGCTGTCCAATTATTATAATCTCATAGATGATTTCTAGATAGGAAGATTCATTTGGAATTCTATAATATAGTAAATTGTAGATATTTTTTATAATATTGGTTGTCATATGATGCAATCCGCATTTGGTGAACAATTTTTTTTGCTGACGTAAAAATGGCATCGATGTAATATGCAGAGTGAGTGTGACATGTTACAACATATTGATTCGTGCGCGTGTACCAGTTGGATTGTAATTGCACTTCGTAAGAATCAATTTACGTTTTGTCGCGAAAGAATATTAAACTGGATATAAATTCACGTATGTAGAATAAAATGAAATAAAAAGTTACGAGAGTAAATCTGAAATCAATGTTAGTCGGATAATCTTACAAAGCTGTCTTTGTGAAAAAAAAACCTAGTACATGGGGAGGTAACTTTCATAAAGAAAATGCTCGCAACGAGTGGTCACAGGATAAGAGGCAAAGAGAATACTGCAAGGACTATTAATGGATTTAACTCCCAAGCGTCGTTATTGAAAGCATAAATTATCATTGGCTCCTTTTTCTTTCTATAGAGCTGTCTGGCAAAACTAATTAACGCTGTTAAGACTACGCCGAATAAAAACAAAGCCTGTCTGAGTCCACTGAAAAACGAATCAATTTACGCTCGTCTGTCGACTGGCACTTGTAACTTCACTTCTCGTTCTTTCTCGTTACTAGGAAACCTTCCATCTCTTAAATCCAATTTCAGTTCGACATATCGAGTACGATACTATTAAAGATGTTAGACTGTGTTTTTCTAGGCACGACGTTTACTCGACTTTCATTTATTTAATTATACGCCACCCCTTGCGTTTCGATTTATGCAATATTGTGCCTCTTGGTTAGGATAACAAATGTAAAAACAAATTCGACTCGAGTGTCGTGTCAGAATTTTATACAAATGCGATATCAATATTGGAAATTGAGTCTGCTACGTGCGATTCAATTTCGCAGAGTTTATTATTGAAAATGATAATGGAATAGAAACTCAATGTTTATCAGCATTAAATTCGAATAGCTTTCATATTTAGAGGAAAGCAATTGTGGTTTTAAATAACAATAAAAACAACGGGGGCCTATTTTGCAGAATTACATCCTTGAGATAAATTTTATTTATGACGAGCAGAACGTGCCAAAGTTTGGCAGTAAATTTCAGCCACATTGTACGCATATTTTCGCGTTTATTACACCAATAGCGTAATTCCTGCCATTCGAAGGGTTCGGATCGAACAATTAATGGACGACATGGGGTTTCTCTTGGTACGCATTCTCCACTATCTCGTTCCCATCCCAACGCAGAGGGACACGGGGCGTGAGGGTGCTTCTGAAGGTTGCCATTAATTTCTAAGGATAGGGGAAGAGAACACTTCTGCCGCGCTGTACCTCGATTTTGTACGTCTCGACAGTTTCATGACGAAGTCAATTAAGCTCTTTTGTTGTATGAAGCGTCGCGCGAAAAGTAACGTGCGCAGCAATGGAGGAAAGACGCGCGCCCTTGTTTTAAGAAAACGTGACCAGAGTGGTCTATTCGAAACTCGACACGTCGCATTTCGACAGACGCATTGTCAAAAATTACTTCGCAGGTGCAAGAACTTCACGGCCGCCAAGAGAATCGGCACGGCCGGCAATCCGACACCGGTACGAATGCCACACGCGCATCCAGAAACGTTCCGCCAGTTTATCCGGTACATCTACACCGGTATGGTAGGTATCGCGCAGTTGTGCAATTTCGTACTTTTATATTCAGTAGAATTTAATGCATAATTTTGCAACACTGCCTTGTCAACGTTACCTCGCAGTCTCTTATCAAGGCTCTTTAATAAAATTCTACGACATTTCATATGTCTCGTGTAATAATTAATCTCAGCTCTTTTTCTAGTGAAATTTCGCGTTTCAACATTTGATATTACGTTTTAATTATTGTCCATATTATTTTATCATTGCATGTAGAATACGTCTCCTATTACGAGATAGGTTCCTAGTACGAGTTAAATTAATAGGCCTCATCTGTTGATTCCACCAGAAATTTCTTATTCTCGGGGCGAAATCTGTTTAGTAGAAAATTCATTGCTAGATTGTGTAATCATCGCGCAAAAAAATTGTGATTGAATTTGGGTGTAGAAAACTTGCTATCTCATAACAAAAGACTTTCCTCTATTATATTTGAAATAGTAAGAATTTGCGCCACTGTTTTACAAGTCTGTTACGCTGTACGGAATATAAATAGATGGTGTACCAATAATTCTCTTTCAACTGATTGCAGATAATACTACAAGATACTGGGATTTTCGAAATGCTGGGTCTCGCGCAGGAACTTGGTATAGAGGAGCTTTGGAGAAGTTGCGAGGAGCACGTGTCTGTTACTTTAAGTCCCGGAAACGCGTGTGCACTTTTAACCGCCGCTTTGGAGGCCCAGGAACGAGTTCCAGGTATATTTAAAGATCTGTGTATTTACGTTCTGCATGCGATAAGGTAACATTTCGGCCGTATGTTATACTTTCGACTTCCCAATTGTGTTATTACAATGCCGCGCGCGTGGAAAATGTATGGAATAATTTTACTCACGGCAATGAACTTGCCGCCTACCCCATACAGCACACAAATGTTGAATTAACATCTCAGGAACGTTCCATTACAACATTGCAATATTGCATAAATGTTACGGAATGTAATTAACGTACAAACATTAACCTAGATTCAATGTGGAAAAGATATTTATACCTCAACGTTCAGACTTGCAACGTTTCAGCAACATTATTTTAACTTTCTGTGCTGTATGGGTACCGTGTTTTGCTGCCTATTTCTGGCGACATGGGGAAAATAGATCCACGGTATTCATTCTGATCATATAAAACACGAAATGAGTTTAAAATGCGCGGTATACTAATTCAAATTAACTCAGCTTTGATTCAAACTTTTTAAAGGAACGTAAGACCCATCTTCGCAAATACCAATCGCATGCCAATTGCGTCGGAATCTGTTTACTCATCGGCGCTGTAATGTCGCGACGCACTGCCCAATGCACAGCCGGTGAACGCTGTCGATCGCGAAGACCCACAACAATCGACACGATCCGGTGATCGCCCGTCACTTTAATCGGCACTCCCGACGGAAATTCGCCCTCGTTATCCAGTCTTAACGATTAGATTTGTGATTAATTGCGGAGCATTCACTCCGTCTGCCGAACCGAACGAGCGTCGACGAGACTGTCATGACGGACGCGCGCGGCGCGCAACGTTGAATATTCAAATCTGAAACGCGAACAATTAGGATTCGCGGTAAAAATTAATGCGTTTTTCTTTTTTTCTCGCAAGTTACTACGCTCAACGGCGTTTTATCTGACGCTCTTTACGAAGATTTAAGGTAAAAGTACCAATACGGAACCACGACCTATAAGTAACCACTCTTGGAATTTTTATTGTTATAAATTAATCTATCACATGAACCAACGTTGTTTAATTGAAAATAAATTCAATGAACACTTAGGTTAACGTGTGTAAAATGTTATTGAATTGTTTTTGTTTAAACAATTAAGAAAAAAGATTAAATGTTGCAAAACAGTTTCTATACAGCTTTCATCACATAAGTACTTGCAATTTTGACAAGCGCAATGATCTTCTAAATAGGCAATAAATAAGTTAATATTGATATTTCGCCTGCAAATCACTATTTTGCATGATTCTTAGGATATAATAAATTAATTTAAACAATCAACTGACTTTATTTTATCGTATTTCTTTGTTAATTATAGTGGTTACTTATTGGTACAGTAGAATGCGTAGTGACTAATAAGTAACCATGTTGGTTACTTATCGGACACGTTTCCTCTTTTGGCTCTCGCCACGTTGTCCCAAAAAGTAACCGACAGCAAAAAGTGGTCAAAAAAATCCAATTCATTAAGATTAACAACATTTAACGCAGTAAGTATATGAACAAAAATATGTATAAATAATATGTTATATTATATTATTAATTTATAATAAATTAATAATATAATTATGAAGATAACCTCACTTTTTCATTTTAACAAATTACATTTAATAATGAAATAGACTTAAAAAGAGACTGTAGTTAAAAACAAATTAATTAAATAGTGCAATCATTAATTAATAGGTTAAACAATAATTTCTTGGTATGCCACCAAAAAGAGAGATGCAGCAACTGCCAAACGACGAATGGATAACAGTGAAAAAATCCACAACCGTAAATACAGTTTCTAATTATTAATTATTCGATAATTAATTTCTTTACGAGTATATACTAGTCTTTAAAATATAATAACATATTTTAAAGACTAATATATATTGGTAAAGAAATAAATTATCGAATAATTAATAATTAGAAACTGTATTTACGGTTGTGGATTTTTTCACTGTTATCCATTCGTCGTTGTGAACGACCTCAATATTAATGCGAATAGAAGCACTCCTCCCTCAATTCCTCGCGAGGTTTCAAGGCCACTTTGCGTAGATTGCAAGAACGCACCGAGTATTAAATGCAGTTGCTGTAGCTGTCAATTTAAACACTGTGTCAATTGTTGTAGCAAGTTTATGAATTTTCAAACCACGGATGTAGTTAAAAAAATTATTATTAATAATTATTGCACAACCTGTTAATTATTTTCTTTTCTGCAGTCCCTTTACTATTCAGAATATATGTATTTTTTATTTACTTCAGTAAAATTATTATAAACAGTCCTGATTATTTATCAAATTTGTCTGCTTATTTCTAGTGGTTACTTATAGGGCAGGTCAAATGGAACCACTGGTACCACTCCATTTTCAGTAGTTGCCGAGTGGTTACCTATTGGGACATGGCATATCTGTTATATTTTGAACCTTTTTATTACAATAATTGTATAAAACACGTTTGATTTTTTTATTTTTCAACTCGTTAATATCTAAAAATT